ACTACAAATTAACGGTTCCCATTTCCAAGACGTTGCACTTATGCTCACCGCAATGTTTGTCGCACTTCGGAGACATTGAAGAAAAAGCCGTGTAAAAGGGTCTCAACAGAGTATGGTTGTATTGTTCTCTGGTCGGGTGTCGAAAATATTATGGTATGCAGTAAATTTTATACACATAAACACAATTTTTATGTTCACATTTGTATTATGAAAAGTGCAGAATGTTACTCGCGATTATATTTAACGGACTTGTTCGCGGAAATCATTGAAGGGAAAGAGCTTTGTGTTGACCAGGCGGCGCTTGACTGCTGTTGGCCCGTCCACGTGGCCAACCTCAATCTCTGACAGACTCTGAAGGACATAGGACAAGTGACTAGCAGTGGTGTGCTCATCGTTACCCCAATGTGGACACGGTGCTGAATAATCTGTCGACTAAGGCCACTTAGGATGCGAAGTAATAAAAACCGCAATAAAATTGTCAGCGATGCACTTCTACCTTCGCAGGGCAACCATCCATAAGTAACCGTATCCTGTTGACGAGATCCAGGTGCCTTCATTCTTTACGACTGACTTATATACGTATATTTATCTGAAGTGTGAGAAACTGCTGCAAAATTAGAAACAGATCAGCGTGTACTGAAATGATCATGCACTTGCATGAGTGCATGTTGGTACCAATTCTTAGCCCTTCAGATATTTTTGGGTCATCCTAGAATAGTTCATCAGGTGAGTTGTCAGATGAGAAAGTGGATGAGAACACCTAGACTGAAGAATCTGTAGAGTTTCGTGTGGAATGACTTGGGGTTTTCACATGTGCTGATTTCGGTTGGTAGGATGTTTCGCAGAAGGGCGTATTGGATTACGGAAAAGTTGGACCGCATGGTTGATCTAGCCCTTGTTACAGAGTCTGTGATGGTTAGTGTGTTTTGTCTCTAAGTTAAGCACGTAAGAGTGCGTTGTTTGGTACAACAAATTGTGGAGGAGCAACAAGTATCTGGGACACACTTCCTCACCATCTTCTAACTTTACAACTGTGGAGTCGCTTTCTCGACTTACGATCCTGTGGTAGTAAATCGGTAGTGCACTGCTGGTGTGCTGCTTTTCATGATAATGATGCAGATGCCGAGGAGCTATTTTGATAGCGCGGATTATGGCCGGCAGTTATCAAGTTGAACGCGATTCACCATGGGTCGTATCAGTTCATCTGAAACCTTAACCATCTGAAGGAAGATAAGCGGCGCACAGAGTACAATCTAACGCCATGCTGCGAAACGTGATTTGCTGGTCACTTTCTATCCTAGGGAAAAGCAACGGCGATCAAATGCAACAGATGTACTACAACACACCATGAAAGATAGATGATGCCTGTTTGATTGGGGGAATCAAAATTTACAAGTGAGCAACCCTAAATCGGTGGGCCACATGTGAGAGCAAAACTGCAGATCGGTAAGGCGGTGAACATGTAAATGTGAGGAACGCTGTGTCGCTTGTTAAGTAAATGAAAGCAAAATGCGTAACTTATATGACTGAATCATTGCGCAAACAATGATAGAATGATTATTTCACAGCGAACAGCAACAGTGGATAGGAGGGGGAATGTGAGGTGGCTCACTTTGAAAGCGGATCGCTTGTGTACATCCTGGTATGCGCGGCTGAGCAACGCCTCGCCCTCCTTGCGTCCGAGCAAGTTAACGATAGCGGTGGCCGAGTAACGAGAGATAATGTGCATGAAATGCCGCTCGAAAGCCCCAACGCATAGCTCCAAAGAACGGCTGAACTGGATCTTGTGTGAACCCACTTGAATCCCAGGTTGCTCCCAAAACAGAGGCACGGTGCCACGAATCTGAACATGACTGGTGACAGATGTCCCCAGAAATATGAACTGCAAATGTGCAACAGAAGTAGAGAGAACATGACTAAATGTACTCAAACGAATGAGAAGCAAACATTCTGATAAAGTAGTTAGCCTGATTAGATTGCATATACGCACGATTAACCAATTGTGTGATCATAACACTGCGAAGACGACTGCTGCGTAGTAGTAAGACCCTACATTCGAATCAACTTACACATTGATGACATTTGATTGATCCTGAAGAGGGTGACTTATAACGGACTCCTAATTACGATGTTGACTTTGGAAAGATTTTAGAACAGCAGATGCTAACATGGCTTAACTGAAGACATCATTCCCAATCTGCAAAAAAACAAAGTGAGAAAGCTGGCTATTAACCATCGTGTTGGTAAAAATTAGTGACCAAGAAAGTGTACCGATTAGTGAAACTGCAGTCATAGCTCGCCGTGCTTGCGCACCGGAATCGTACAGTTTATTGCATTGAAAGTCCTCATTGAGATCAAGATGAACTTGCGTTCCATTACAGTATGGTGCCGGAAGACGAAACACATCAATAAAACTGGGTCATTTCTCAAGCAATGAAGTGTTATAGGGTGATCCGTGTCTTAACCTCGATGTTTGCTCATCCGGGTATGAGCTCAGTGAAAAAGGCACATGGAAGTAAGCGGCAAACACGCATGCAAAGAATGTACGCTAGCTAGTGCACGCAGATGCATTAGAGATACCAGAAACAAAGAGGTGGATTTCAAAAGCACACAACAGGCGCACCTAGCCGAAGCAAGGTGAAAAAGATCGCAGGACCACCAATTCCGTCCCACGTAGTGGCGTTAATCGATTCACCTAATAGTATCGCTTATTAAGGTGAGATCGATAAGGAGATGCATTCTCTCCTCCGTAGGGTCTAAGGGAGGTTTAACCGTTGCATCAGTGAGCGAACGAATCGGCTACTTTCTACAGTTCCTTTGTATCAATGAGAACTGGAGGTGTGCGAGTCAAACAGAGTACAATGCAGTTATGTCTACAATGTGAACGGTGCGCGCAGTAACCGGGGGGATTGCACAGGGGACGAGGTTTAATTCGGCCAGTAGGATGGTTGGGAGAGAATTTGTTGAAAACCAAGTAGTGGGCATTAATCAAGCGTTAAAATCACAGTCGAAGAACACAGTAGTTTAGATGTATTCAAAATGGCGATTGGAAAGAGACACTAGGCTAAGCGTTCCAGTGGTGAGCACCACGAAAAACGATTATATACCCGACAAAAACAAAGATTGCCCCTGAATAATCAAGATGATAGTGGGGAGAAATACACATTAGTGGTGCAGGTTAAGTAATCAATGTAAACAGAAGTAAAATCCAGACTGGAATGATCAGAATCACTGAATTATGAGGCCTGTGGGTAGTTCGTAAGTAATGGTAGTAGAGCGATGTGTTGTTCAATACTGACAAATTACTCATCTCAGATTGCAGGTAAATATGTGCTGAAATTATTCGTATGACCAAACTACTTCCATGAGTAGTACGGACATACCAATCAATTCATTACGATGGATCTTTCACAACATAAGGGTCAAAGTCTAAACGAGACCACGGTAATTCAAATTCGAGTGATTTTATGCAGCAAGCAGTAAGGTGTGATGACAAATCAACTGCATGCGACATATGGACTGACAGAATTGACGTATTCGCAACCAATGGCAACATCATCAGTCTGAGATACCGAACTGTCTGTGCCTTTGCAGTTTGTGCTGAAAGACGGATATGCAGGTCCACGTGGAACTGAGTAATCTAAACAACAGTGTGACTGAGATAAGAAACACTTTAAGACAACTCACTGAGAGCTACATTTGAGGTCTTGAGAGCATACAACCCGAAGGCACTTATGCCACCATGGAGAACCATAGCAACCGTTCGCTAATGAGCCGAGCGACAAATGTCGGTTGTAGAGAGCAGTATGACATGCACAACTTCCCGGACAGAGATGATAGCAAGTGGCCAAGTAAGGAAGTGGCAATTTGTGTGTTTCAACGTCACATGAGGATTTCAGAACATGTGCTTATTAAATGCAATTAGGCAGTGGGAAAGGGGAAGAATTGCCAAAATGCGCTTATGCGAGAATGATTGCATCGATGTAACAGTGTCCACACCAAAAGCTGGCTGAACGGTAGTTGGCCATTACACAGAGTGGCATAAAGCCAAAATTTGCGAATAAGCAAGTTCGTTTGAAGAATCACACAAGTCTTGTGTCCACATACATAAAAGTTGAGAAATGGCAACAGCGAAAAGGAAGCAAATGACCGCAGATGATTCGATGGAGCGAAAAAGTCAGGTCGGAATACGCTCCTCCTTATAGACAATAATTGGGGAAACGTTGTTATAAGGTGCACGTTGAAGGCATATACTGATGGCACACGTGGTTAAATCGCACGACGTGCACACATTTGGCTGGCTCGCCCAATAACTCCTTGTGCAAGCCGGGTGGTTCAAGTCAATGTCGTTCCATCGAATACTTCGCCGGCAGTGTTTTAGGACGTGGTGGGTTTCCGTCTGACAAACCTTCTCCCTATAAAAAGCCACAACTGTTCGTTGAACAACACCGGCATAGAGAATGGGAATCGGGACTAGATGAACTCACTGCCATATGTCTAACCGGATGAACTCACCTATTATAGGGACGCCAGTCAGCAAACTCAAAGACTTGCTTTGTACTGTTCGCATGCAAACTGCCCGACTGAACACAAACGCAGCGTCACATTCACAAAATCAAGCAACACAGTTGCATATACAGTTGGTGGCATCTGTGTACAGATTTTCCCGTCACTGCGGTCTCCACAAAACAGCCACAGGACGTTTGCACTAAATGAGGGACCAGTGGTACCTTACGCTGAGTCACTCACACAACTCGTTTCTAGTGTAAAACGGAAGGAATAAGATCAGAAGGCATGTGGATGAGAGCCACGTTTTATCAACGGAGCCGGTCCACCCTCCTGCAACATACACAGCAGAGGCAATCCCGCCGATTTAATTTGAGAAAAATGTTTGCCAGACTACACAAGGCGGTGGCTTGCCGTAGTCCGTTCCACATCAGATGCACGGAACCAAGAACACGCACAGTCATGAGGACCGTGCACCCCGTCTCCCCAAGGAATGACCAACTGTCTCCTGGAGCGAGTATAAACGAGGTGGAGGCTTTTCAACCGGTAGGCATCTCGTCAACAGTCACCTTAAGCGCAACTAAGCAGGAGGTTTACTGTGTCAAGCACAAGTCGGACAGACAGTGAGTCGGGTTTAGCCAAACTGAAACGACAAAGTACATAATGTACACTCAGAGATCCAGTATGCTACCGGTAAAATGGCAACATTATTGTGCAGTTACCGATCCTTCGTGTTCGTATCCCATGAACATGCATATGTAGGCGTGTTTTGCATTGTCGACAATAAACTATTTATTTATATGATGGATGCAGGGACTGAAAATGGAACAGAGTATTCGGCTGGCAGAGATTGTGTTAAATCTGAACAAAATCCACTGTATAAACGGATAAGTAGTCAAAGTTTAAGGGGACAAAGAGATGGAATAGACCAGTTAGTAGATAGAAGGCGGCATATCGACAACTATGCAGAAAATAACACAGAAAGAGGTTGGCACAAATGCGTAACAATGGATGCAGGCAACAACGGAAGAGAGAGAAAACAGCTTGCGGAAATTCAGAGGGAAGAAAGTAGAAAACCGACACAGGAACAAGGTATGTGGATGATAGCACAACTGGATGGTGGTAAGCACTTGGATGGAATGCCTGTGCAACTACCAGTGAACGAATCTTAGAGTACGGTAGGTGAAGGGATGTATACGAACGGAATGGTGGAGGCGCTCACAATTTGAATATCACATTTCAAGAACAGAGCAGATGGAAACAGCCCTTTGAAAATAGCGTAATCGAAACGCTCGGGGTGGTTAAGTGGCTTCTCAGTGCATTTGTACAGGTTACAGAGTTGTTAGATTTACCGTTTTCTATGTGATTCTGGTCGAAAACGACCATGTCTCAAGCAAGCTTCTAACTCGAGAGAAGTCAACGTCCCGACTCAAAAGTGTGTTACATGAACAGCTGTCGGCCGGTAGCCGAGTGGTCTGCACGTTTGCTTTGCAACCATAAGGTCACCGGTTCGACTGCGTGTAGGGGTGGGCGTCCTCGCGGTATACTCAGCCCGCGCGCGACTGGTGGTGGTCGCGCGGCAGCGAAGCGCCGTTACGGCGTATACGCTGACACATTCATTCATTTACATGAACAGCTACTGATACAGTCCAAGTAGCCTGAACATTAAGGTATTTACAGACAATTAACAATGTTCAGCTTACGAAGCGGCCATGTCAGCTGAGAACGATAGTGGGTCAGAACCAACTCAGCAAGTGCGGTGGGTGCGTACGTAGTGTGACGGTTTAGGATTTGCTGGAAACGACTGGATACTCCCATCTTCTCGTCGAAATAACGGGCTTTCGTGGAGATTTTACTTTCTCCCAGGCAAGGAGGCCTGGTGGCATGCATCCACAACTAGAGAAAGATTGTCAGACGGTAAAGCAATTACATCTGTTAGTGGAAAGACTGGTGAAACGAGTGACTGAGTACGCCTACTGAAAAAATCACTGAGTAGTGGAAAGGCAAGTGGATCTGAAGTGATGAGGGCTGGGTAGTCCATTGGACGCAGTCGTAAAGGCGCCAATGATACATTGAAAGCAAGCCTACAGATAATCGTTATGAAGGAAAGATGGCAAGGGAAACCGGTCAAAAAAGTGAATAAGTGTTGGCAAGCCTGTGCAAGCGGTCTGGCAAGCCTAAACTGCCACGTGTCTTCTGTTTGTGCTGTTGGAGGCGAATACAGTTTAGTTTCGAGATAAAGAAATATGCAGTTTCGGTGGTACACTCTTTCATCGCTGCACTAAACGCCGCGTTTCGGCCTTGCTTGGGCTCATCAGGTGGCGATAGCCGAGGTGGAACCCAGCACTTCGTGATTGAAGGCAATCGCCATGATTT